TATCTTTCGATTTGCACGCAAATTTCGTGGTCTTTGATGCACCTATTACCTTAAATCGGAAGAAACTATATATGGGAGCTATATCTAAATCTGAACCGATTTTCACGAAACTTAGCACACATCATTCTAGGCCCTATTCATTACGCTATGCCAAATTTCGTGCAAATCGAAAGATATATAGGGACTTTAGGGGACTATTTACCTGAAATCGGGCGAAACTATCTATGGGAGCTATATCTAAATCTGAACCGATTTCCACGAAACTTAACACACATCATTCTAGACCCTATTCATTACACTGTGCCACATTTCGTGCAAATCGAAAGACATATAGGGTCTTTGTCGCACCAATTACCTAAAATCGGGCGAAACTATATATGGGAGCTATATCGAAATCTCAACCAATTTTCCCGAAACTCACCACTCATCATTCTAGACCTAATTTATTACGCTGTGCCAAATTTCGTGCAAATCGAAGCATATAAAGGGACTTTGACGCAATATTTACCTAAAAGCGGACGAAATATATATATATATATATATATATATATGGGAGCTATATCGAAATCTCAACCAATTTGCACAAAATTTGACATACATCATTCTAGACTAATTTATTACGCTATGCCAAATTTCGTGCAAATCGAAGCATATAAAGGGACTTTGACGCACTATTTACCTAAAATCGGACGAATTTATATATATGGACGCTATATCTAAATCTGCACCGATTTTCACAAAACTTAACATACATCATTCTAGACCTTATTCATTACGCTGTGCCTAATTTCGTGCAAATCGAATGATATATAGGGATCGTTTACATTAAATCGGACGAAAATATATACGGGAGCTATATCAAAATCTGAACCGATTTGTCCCAATTTCAATAGATTTCGTCCTTGGGTCAGATAAGTAACCTATGCCATATTCCATTCAATTCGGATTATAAATGCCGACCTGTGCTTTGTTTACAATTTAACATCGACAGACAGATGGAGAGACGGACGGACGGACGGACGGACGGACATGCATAAATCGACTCAGAAAGTGATTCTATGCATATTCTCAAAAGGAACCATGTGTCTATCTCGTTCCCCTTTGCCTGTTACAAACATATGCACAAAGACCTAATACCCTGTACCACAGATTAATGTAGGGTATACAAATCTTCAAGGCTCTATAAGAGGCGTGGATTTTTTAAAATATTTTTTGTTTTTTAGGGCTCAACTATGTTGTCAGGGTATTATAGCTTTGTGCTGCTCCAAGAGTTTGTAACGCCACGAATTGGTCCAGGACTAACCTTTAAGTGTACCGATGGTCACATCTCGACTAGCTGAGTCGATCTAGACATGTGTGTTCATCCGTCTGTCCATTATAATTTTTAAACCCGATATAGGCCACGAAATTCACGAAATTTTGAATATAGGTTGGGTTCTGGCCAATGAAAACCCCTATTGTTTTTGGTAAAGATCGGTTAATATTTAGCGGGTGAAATGGACCGGTGCACTCCTATCAAAATGGTGATTATATGAAAATACCCATTATCACTGACATGACCAAGGATGAATTTGTGGGCCCGGCTTTGTGTAGGTGGAAAACCGTTCAAAAAAAATTTAGTAGAAGGAGGTTCCCGACCTACAAAATATTTTCTTGTAGTCATTTATACAGGCTTCCGGCTTTAACTAGTCAATTAACACCCCATTCAGATCGCATACAAAATTGTCCCCTAAAAAGTGTCCCTTCAGCTTAACAATCTGTCTAAAACCTCTCGTCTATAACGACTACATTCAATATCTCTTTGCAGTTCGTCTATGAAAGACTCCCTTAGATCGTCTATGAAAGACTCCCTTCAGCTCGTCTTTGAAAGACTTCCGTTAGCTCGTTTATAAGGACTCCATTCAGCTCGTCTGAAAGATTCCCTTCAGCTCGTCTATGATAGATTCCATTAGGGTATCATTTAGGGACTCCTTCAGTTCGTCTATGAAAGAATCCCTTAAGCTCTTCTATTGCCTTCATTTTATTCATTGACACTCCCTTCAGCGCGTTAACAGATACTGCCTTCAGTTCGTCTATAGCGACTCCCTTTGGATCGTCTATAAAGACTTCCTTCAGCTTGTCTGTAGAGACTCCCCTCAGCTCGTCTATAAAGATTATTTTCACCTCGTGTGTAGAGACTCCCTTCAGGTCGTCTGTAAAGACTTCCAACTTGCCAATAAAACTCTCTTCAGCTCATCTATTGAGACTCCCTTCAACTTGTCAATAGAAACTTCCTTTTGGTCGTCTATAGAGATTCTCTTCAGCTCGTCTATAAAGACTCCTGACTGCCCAACCTTTAGCTCGCCTATAAAATACTGTCCCGTTCAGCAGTTCTATATAGAATCTCTACTTTCCGATCATCTAGAGATATTCGCTGTCCTCAAATGTCTATGGGGATTCCCTACCTTCAATTCTTCTACAGAGGTTCCGGCTCGTCCATAAAGACTCGCTTCTACTGTTTTAAGAATATCCCTCATATACAGAGATTCCTTGTGTACAGCTCGACTATAGAGACTTTCTCCTTTGAAATTTATCCTCAGACTTTTATCTTCAGCTTCCTGCGCCTAAAAAATCTCCCTCCATCTCCTCCTGTGAATATTGCCATAAGCTTCTTCCATCTCCTATGTAGAGACCCCTTTTAATTTTAATATTTTATAAAATTCGAATCAATTAGTTTAGCCCTCTTGGAAAATGAACGCTGGCTAAACTACTTCGTGGAGAATTTGGAATTGGTTGCCCCCATCTGCTTTATGTACAATCAAAGTAATCCGAGAGCTTCGAGTATATCACGAGAATTGTGGAACTACTATTTTGGTGAAAATATAACATTGAGTTTACCGGGCTCCCTAGAGAATTTGACTCAACTGTATTCGGATGCTTTGACTGGATTTTCGGTACATCGGTTTGTCTACTTGGCTGCCCGATCGACAAAGGTCTATTATTACACATTTAGTTATCAGGGTCAGAGGAGTCACATCTATTATCCGGAAAATGGTCCCTATGGTATGGAGATCTGTTTATTTATTTAAAATGGAAATCATGGAAATGGGTTGGTTTAGGTGTGGTCCATCATGACGATTTGATGTATTTATTTGTGGAACCCTCGGTAAGTCGTATGTTCATCGAAGATGATGATGAGCCGAGTATGGTGAATATATTTACCCGGATGTTAAGCGCCCTTGCCTATAAGGGGTAAGGATTGAAGAGAAGGTGTTTCTGGTTGCTCCAGAGGCCGCAATTATGGCACAAACATTGCGAATGCCTGTTTTGATAAGGATAGGTCAATATTTAGCGGGTCAAATGTAACCTGACTTTTTTGTGAAAAATGACAAATTTGTATTCTATGGCGTATATATTTACCCTTGAAGGAAATAGAGCCGAGAAGTTGATAGTATATCCAAGAGGAGTGGTTTACCTTTAAATAGATACCAATATTGTCTTATGTACTCGGATGCGGGAGATACACGTAAATATTTACAGGTGCTTACGTATTCAAATATTATTTAGTATCCCATTACCACTCCAGGCGGGCGAAAATATAACGCTGATATGATAGGTATGATCCAGGATAATATTGGGATGAAGTGGACCGAAAACTTTTTTGTGTTTTTTTCGAGTCGATCTATAGACCACAATTGAAAGCCGAACTTCACCACACAACCCGCTGTGAAGGAAATCTGGACAAGAAATCTGGAAATCTGGACAAGAGTTGTACTGAATATTAGCAATATTTGTTGACATCTAGTCGGTCAAGAGGGTGTAAATATCGTGAAATATAGACTAAGCTCAGAACTACACCGCAGAAAGTTAGATTTTCGTGTAAGTCGTGTAGGGTATCATATGGTCGGCTCCGTCCGACTATACTTCTCCGCTCACTGGTTTAAAATATTTTTTTTATTTTTTAGGGCTCTATAACATCCGTATATATTTATACCCTACTCAACTATGTTGTCAGGGTATTATAGCTTTGTGCTGCACCAAGAGTTTGTAACGCCACGAAAAATTGGTCCTAGACTCACCATTAAGTATGACGATCGTCACGACTAGATCGACTCAGCTAGCCAGACATGTGTGTCTGTCCGTCCGTCTGTCCATTATAATTTATAAACCCGATACAGGCCACAGTCCACGCCTCTTGTCGACCTCTAAAAAGGATATTTTAAAAATCCACACCTCTTGTAGACCCCTAATAATACATTTTTGAAAATTCAAGGCATGGATTTATTAATTCAAAATTTTTTGATGGACTTCCCAAATTTTGTAGACCATCCTCGTCGGATATTTGGTATGGTACTAAAAAACTGCGTACATTATTGCTTCATTACCCTTATGGTCGGGGTTTAGAAATTCCCTCGGGGGTGCAGAGAAAAACTAACATACATAATTCAGTGACAGAAAGTGTAACTGTTTGTTAAGGTTGTTCGCAGCAACGCAACAACGCAGCTCATCAAACAAACCAACACACCCAACCGCACAAACAACCGCGGCAACAATGGCAGTAAATTAAAAGCAAATTTTAGGATTTATTATGTTTAGGCCCAGAAGGCGGTTCCGTTTACACACCAACATTATTAATAATATTTAGTTGTGTGTGCATTTATAATAGAGAAATAATTCAAAAACAATGTTGAGAAATGTGCAACAGTCAGGTGGATGGGGTTCGAAAAAAAATTGTAGGGTGTTAGCACCCTTGGTAATAATTTTAGAATCTCAAGTTATTTATAGAATCTCACACAGATTCCGAACAGATCCGAACTCTTTGTTTCATAAACATTTTATTTTTCCTTACCATAATTTCCACACTTTCTTGCTTCCCCTCTTAATTTCTGAAATATTTCTTACGTTCCGTTATTTTTTTCGAACGCCATGCTCGACAACAATTATTTTGAAATTTGTCACAAAGTTTTCACAAAGCAATTTTTCATTCCCTCCCCCATTCTGTTTTCGTTTCATATTTACAGGTGGCGTGGTTGCGTGTCGATACCCAAACCATATTGACGATACAAAATCATGTCATCACGAAAAATCAACGCATCGGCATCACAAATTCCGAACACAAAACCTGGTCGATGCGTATCAAGGATATCAAAGAAAGTGACAAGGGCTGGTATATGTGTCAAATCAATACGGATCCGATGAAATCGCAAGTTGGCTATTTGGATGTAGTCGGTATGTATGAATAGTTTTGAAATGGAACAGAAAATAAAATTAACTAATAAATCTACTAAAGGAAAACGGGGACTTTATATTGAAGATCATGAGAATGTCAATTGGGAAACTAAAAGGCATAAGAAGGCGCAGATTTTTTTAAAAGAATATTTTCAGGGTCTACAGAAGGCGTAGAATTTTTAAAGAATATTTTTTAGGGTCTGCAGAAGGCGCAGATTTTTTAAAAGAATATTTTCAGGGTCTAACAGATGGCGCTGGTTTAAAAAAAACTTTCAGGGTCTACAGAAGGCGTAGATTTTTTTAAAGAATATTTTCTGGGTCTACCAGAAGGCGTAGATTTTTTTAAAGAATATTTTTCAAGGGTTTACCAGAAGGCGTATATTTTTTTAAAGAATATTTCCTGTGTCTACCAGAAGGCGTAGATTTTTTAAAGAATATTTTCTGGGTCTGCCAGAAGGCGTAGATTTTTTTAAAGAATATTTTCTGGGTCTACCAGAAGGCGTAGATTTTTTTAAAGAATATTTTCTGGGTCTACCAGAAGGCGTAGATTTTTAAAAAATAATTTTCAAGGTCTACCAGAAGGCGTAGATTTTTTTAAAGAATATTTTCTGGGTCTACCAGAAGGCGTAGATTTTTTAAAGAATATTTTCTGGGTCTACCAGAAGGCGTAGATTTTTTTAAAGAATATTTTCTGTGTCTACCAGAAGGCGTAGATTTTTTTAAAGAATATTTTCTGTGTCTACCAGAAGGCGTAGATTTTTTTAAAGAATATTTTCTGTGTCTACCAGAAGGCGTAGATTTTTTTAAAGAATATTTTCTGTGTCTACCAGAAGGCGTAGATTTTTAAAAAATATTTTTCAAGGCCGTGAAAAAATCATTTAAAAAATCCACGCCTTATGTAGGCTTGAAAAATTATTTAAAAAATCCACGCCTTATGTAGGCTTGAAAAATTATTTAAAAAATCCACGCCTTATGTAGGCTTAAAAAATCATTGAAAAAATCCACGCCTTATGTAGGCCTGAAAAAATAATTTAAAAAATCCACGCCTTATGTAGGCCTGAAAAAATAATTTAAAAAATCCACTCCTTATGTAGGGCTGAAAAAATTATTTAAAAAATCCACGCCTTATGAAGGCCTTGAAAAAATTATTTAAAAAATCCACGCCTTATGAAGGCCTTGAAAAAATCATTTAAAAAATCCACGACTTGTATAGAGCCTTGAAAAAATCATTTAAAAAATCCACGCCGTATGTAGGCCTGAAAAAATTATTTAAAAAATTCAAGCCTTGTGTAGGCCCGAAACAAATAATTAAAAAATCATTCTGCAACCGATACTAAATTTTTCATTTGGTCAGATATAGAAGCTTTATCTAAATCTGAACCGATTTTCAGGAAACTTAACACACATCATTCTAGGCCTAATTCATTACGCTGTGCCAAATTTCGTGCATATCGAAAGATATAAGGAACATTGGTGCACCATTTACATAAAATCGGACAAAACTATATGTGGGAGCTATATCTAAATCTGAACCGATTTTCACGAAACTTAGCACACATCATTCTAGACTGAATTCCGTACGCTGTGAAAAATTTCGTGCAAATCGAAAGATATATAGGAACTTTGGTTCACTATTTACATAAAATCGGACGAAACTATATATGGGAGCTATATCTAAATCTGAACCGATTTTCACGAAACTTAACACACATCATTCTACACCTAATTCTTTACACTGTGCCAAACTTCGTACAAATCGAAAGATATATAGGGACTTTGATGGACGATTTACATTAAATCGGATGAAAATATATATGGGAGCTATATCTAAATCTGAACCGATTTTTCGATAGATTATAAAAAGGGTGTTATATGGGGACTACCCCAAAACGGGGGCGAATAGTATTAATTTTTGGTAGGGAGATTTGTTTCCATATACGACTACAAAATACCAAATTGCAGCAATTTCGGTTGAAAATGGCGCTCAAGAACCCCAAGAAACCGAAAATTGGGTGTACCCTTATATGGAGGCTATCCGAAAAAATTAACCTATATTCATAATTTTTTGTGGAGAGATTTGGTACCTATTGAGAACTTAATATACTAAATTACAGCTTATTCGGCGCAAAAATACGATCAAAACCCCCAAAATACTGAATATTAGGAGGTACCGTTGTATGAGTTCTACCAGAGAAAGTGGACCTATATTTATAATTTTTTGTGGAGACATTTAGTACCCAATAAAAACCCAATGTAGCAAATTTCAGCGAATTCGGTTGAAAGGCGCGCTCAAGAACCCCAAAATACCGAAAATTGGGGGTTACCCTTATATGGAAGCTATGCCTAACCCTAGCCCACGTGGCTATATCGTCATCGAATTTTACGCTGATCAAGAATATACATATATATACTTTATAGGGTCGGAAATGAATATTTCGATGAGTTACAAACGGAATGACAAAATTAATAAAATTGGAGGGTATAAAAATCCACGCCTTGTGGAGCCTTGGAAAAAAATTATATAAAAAATCCACGGCTTGTGGAGCTGTGATTTAAAAAATCAGCGCCTTGTATAGAGCCTTGAAAAAATTATTTAAAATCACTGAGCGTAGCAGTATAATCGAACGGGGCCGATCATATGATACCCTACACAACTTCCACGAAAATCTATCATTCTGAGGTTCTATATTCTGAGCTTGGGCAATATTTCGCGATATTTGCACCCTTTTCATCGACTAGAGGTCAACAGCAACTCTTCTTCACACTGACATATTTTCAGAATATTACTAATATTCAGTACAGTCCTTCTAATTACTTGTGCAGATTCCCTTCACCGTGGATTATGTTGTGATGTTCGGCTTTAATTGTGGCCTATAGATCAACTCGAAAAAAATGCAAAAAATTAAGTTTTCAGTCCTCCCCATCCCAATATTATTATCTGATCATCACCGAAAATTAAAGGAGTTGTCCTTAGGCATATCCGGATCCTTATGGAAAATTTCAAAGCGATCAGCGCTACATTTCGCCCTCTAGTATTGTAATGGGTTACTAAATAATATATGAATACGCGAGCACCTGTAAATATTTAAGTGTAACTTCTGCATCCGAGTACATACGACAATATAATTGGTATCAATTTAAAGGCCTACCACTCCTCTTGGATGTACTATCAACTTCTCGGCTCTATGTCCTTCAGGAGTAAATATATATATATATATATATGCTATAGAATCAAAACAGGCATGCCTATTCTTTGGTCCGATTCCCTTCTCCATGTAAAATTTGATATTTGGATAATAATTGCGGCCTCTAGCCGGCTAATCGGCTAGTAAATATTAGCCTTTACTAGCCGATTAGCCGATCTTTACGAAAAACAATAGGGGTCTTCATTGACCAGAGCCCATCCTAAATGCAAAATTTCGTGAAGATTGGTCCATAACTGTGGCCTGTTTCGTGTTTACAAATTATAATGGACAGACGGAGAGGACGGACACACATGTCTAGATCGACTCAGTTAGTCGAGATGTGAAGATCGGTATACCCTAAGGCGGGTCTAGGACCAATATTTCGCGCCGTTACAAATTCCTGGGCCTGCGTAAAGCTATAATACCTTGACAACAACCCATGCCTTGTGGAGGCTTGGAAAACAATTATTTAAAATTTCCACGTCTTGTGTAGCCTTGGAAAAAAATTATACACAAAATTATCGATGCTATAGTAGTCCACGTTACTCATTGCCATTTATTTTGATTTATTAATTGTTTTGTCATAATTGCCACAACAATTAAATATTTTTCCCATTTATCCCAGCCATAATTCAACCTCAAATTTAAGTTCATTTCGTGGAGGAAAAGAACAAAAAACTATAGTTTAAATTGACTTTATTATTGCTCAATTTTTCTCCCGACTTCCCGAATCGCTAACAGGTTCACCATCAACATCGTTGCATTCATATCATCATCCATTTAAATTACCAACGAATTTCTTGGCCATTAACCACGATTTTTCAACGGCTCTTTGTTTTTTTGCATTGAGCCTTACAGTCACCGGTTGGTTTACTGGCCATTGGCTTCGGTTTCATTTTTTTCGGGTTCATTATAATTTTTCCTGGTTTCCGTTTCCTACCATTTCGTCGGTTTCGTTGTTCTTTTTTTTTTTTTTTTTTGTTTTTGTTGCATTCTGTTACTAAAGTGGCAGTTAAATGGCTGGAATAGTGTCAACATGTGTTGAGTATTTAATAAATTTAATCAGTTGTATATATAGATGTGTTGCAATAAGACAGGGGCGGGTTAAACAGAGAGAGAAAAAGGGGAATGCCTCCAAAAATATATTTATTATACGCATTAAAAGTCTCCACAATTTTTATACTCTACACAACTATGTTGTCAGGGTATTATAGCTTTGTGCAGCCCCAAAAGTTTGTAACGCCGCGAAATATTGGTCCTAGACCCACCTTTAAGTATACCGATCGTCATATCTCGACTACCTGAGTCGATCTAGACATGTGTGTCCGTCCTCTCCGCCTGTCCATTATAATTTGTAAACACGATACAGGCCACAGTAATGGACCAATCTTCATGAAATTTTGCATGTAGAATGAGTTCTGGCCAATGAAGACCCCTATTGTTTTTGGAAAAGATCGGTTAATATTTAGGGGATGAAATGGACCAAAAACTTTATTTTTGTCGGTTTTTCTGGTCGCTCCAGAGACAGCAATTATGGCCCAAACACCTCGAATGTTTGCATGGAGAAGGGGATCGGGCCAAAGAATAAGTATGCCTGCTTTGATACAGATCGGTCAATTTATAGCGGGTCAAATGGACCCTGACCCTGGACCTGGCATACATATTTACTCCTAAAGGATATAGACCCGAGAAGTTGATAGTGACAAATCGTGAATTTTTGACCTTTAAATTGATACCAATTATATTGTCGTATGTACTCGGATGTGGAAGTTCCATAAGATTCCCGTTATGGTCAACGACAACGCCTATAATTTT